TGTTCGTCAGCTGTGATTGGAGAGTTGTCATGTGCGATCACTGTGGCGAACCACAACCACAGTGTCATATGCAGGTAGATATTGTCTTTTAGCATTATGTCTATTGTTGGCTCCTCAATAGTGTTATTTATAATAAATGATTTTAAAAACAAAAGCTCCTTGTTTGAACAAGTTCCTTCACGATATCACTATTGGTTTACAACGTGTTTCGGTGGAAACTGTTCCACTTGGTACAGAGTGGCAGTAAACATTACAAAAAGAACTCCGTCACCCTTTTTTTCGACCTTTGATATATAATGTTCTAACTAAGTCTTATCTCCTCTAGGATCATATTGATCAGTGCAGTCAGTTCCCAGTAACTTGTCCAAACAATTGCGGTTGTTCAATCCCTAGAGGAAGGGTAAGAATGCAGTTTCTGATACNAGAAAGCAGTAAGCAGTGAAGGAAGAATGAATGAATGAATGAAAAACTTTATTTAAGTGTCTATGTTTTTAGCTATAAGCTAATGGGGGACACTAAAAATAATTTAAAAGTCAAATACATTTACATATGTAGATGATAGTTATTTACAGTAGATAATTAAAAAGATTATAAAGTTAATTAGTTAAGTTTTAAATTTCAAAGAAAGTTGAAAGGTCGACTTTTCTTATGTTCTTCTTGAACGAATTTAGATTTTCTATCGTTCTTAGGTGTCTTGGTAACTTCGACCAGATGAGAGGTCACATATATTTAATAGAATTCCTACCAAATCTTACAGTTTCGAATCTTGGCAGTTCGAAGTCACTGTTCCGGAAATTATACTGAGTGTTCTTTGTATTAAATAAGTCAGAAATATTCTCAGGCACGAGACTGTGCTTAACTTTAAACATCAAAGTGGCAATGTCGTGTAGGCGCCGATTGCTCAACGTCGGTAGTTTGGCGCCACTTAGCAGTTCTTGATAGGACGCTGATCTAGTTTTGTACACCGCCCTAAGTGCTCGCTCCTGAATCCGCTTGAGCTTGGCACACCACTCAAAGATGTAAGCTCAAATTTCCATTTCGACTTAGAAATATTTCTTTTATGTAACGGCCATCGGGCGATTGTTGACATCGAGCCTACCGCGATTCCATTTAGTTTTTTTAAAAAACATATTTCTTAACATTCTCCATGTATTGACGACTTACGGTAAAAACTTTTGCATAAGCCTTTTTGACGGTCGCCTGTTAAATTTTTGCCTCTTGACGATTGACGGTATACGTTTTTCTAGTCTTTTTGACATCATCTAGTCTTCAAATTTATCTGAGAATTATTACTCTGTTAAGGAGCTTCGCGAAATTTGTTTTTCTGTAGGTTCGTCGAGGAGAAGTGGATTCCCATCTTCAAGATTTCATGAAAGTCCATCTTGATTTGGCTTGTGTGAAGTTACGTAAAACAGAAGATAAGTTAGAGACACTTCAGAAACGGCTGGAAGGGAAAACATTCAGCACCGTGATGGCGAGAAACGAATCTCCCCTTTATCCTTTCAAATATGTGTGGAAAGTTAGTGGTTTTAGTGACAAGATGAGACAAGCGAAGGCAGGAGAGCAAAGGAAATTGGAAAGTGATCCATTCTACACCGAAGACTATGGCAACAGACTAAAATTGAGAATTTACCCTTATGGCCGTAAAAGTGCTAGGAGTTCTCACTTATCGGTGTTCATTGTTGTATTGAAGGGTGAATATGACGCCATATTGCCCTGGCCTTTCAAGAGAAAGATGAGATTTACACTGATTGATCAACAAGAAGATCCAGAAAAACAAAAAAACGTTTCTAAGGTAATTTTTTCGTCCCATATAGAAAATTATGGGAGACCTGAAAAAGAAGAGAATTTAGGGCGCGGTTTTCGTAATTTTTTATCTCACGAGGAGCTTTATTCAAGGGGATACGTTCAAAATGATATGCTGTTTCTTCAGTTTGAGGTTGGCCCGGGTATCAGACCGGTTAAAAAAATTATTTCTTCTAATTCAAGTTCAGAAAAAGATGAAATTACTTCTCGTAGTTCAAGTTCAGAAAGAGATACAATTACTTCTGGTTCAAGTTCAGAAAGCGATACATCTGACTCATAGACTGACTGACATCTCTGATGACAACATTTTTAAGCCTTTTAAGGCCATTCGCTTGGACATTTGGAATGCCTTAATTGCCAAGCTGCTCACCTGAGCAATTATTCTAAATTCATATATCGTAATTATCGCAATGTTTGTAGCGTTAAGTAGAGTTTCTTTAAGTAAAAATTGTTCAGTTGTTCAGTTGTTCTGTTCAGCTTCAAAACTGAGCAGACCAATTACAAGTTGTAATTTGCTAACCAGTTATTCGCCACAATGAATGTCGATTACGGAAGCAGTCAAGAAGTACGTTTTCAATTGATTTCCAGGTAATGGTAGTCAATTTTATTTGTTTTGAACACTTGAAAGGCCGAATGTCAACCTAGTTTCTTTATATCTTAGATCGAATTGTGTTTTTTGAATTAAATAAAATTC